CAGAGTGATAGATATTATGTGTGTGTGTGTGTGTTTTTTGTGTGGCTGATATGAAGCTGAAACTAAGACGGGAAGGGTAATGGGGGAAAGGGAGGGGGTGGAGATAGAGATAGGGCCATAGCGACATATATTGTCACACAGACACACATACACACACACACATATACATGGAAAGATAGGGCTAGAGCTACATTTATTGTCACACACACACAGACACACACACATATACATGGAGAGATAGGTCCAGAGCGACATATACTGCCACACAGACACACACACAGACACACACACACATATACATGGAGAGATAGGTCCAGAGCGACATATACTGTCACACAGACACACACACATACACATATACTTGGAGAGAAAGGACCAGAGCGACATATACTGCCACACAGACACACGCAGACACACACACATATACATGGAGAGATAGGTCCAGAGCGACATATACTGTCACACAGACACACACACACACACACACACACACATATACTTGGAGAGAAAGGACCAGAGCGATATATACTGCCACACAGACACACACAGACACACACACATATACATGGAGATATAGGGCCAGAGCGACATATACTGTCACACAGTCACACACACACACGCACACACATATATACATGGAGAGATAGGTACAGAGCGACATATACTGTCACACAGACACACACACACACACACACACACACATATACATGGAGAGATAGGGCCAGAGCGACGTATACTGTCACACAGACACACACACATATATATACATGGAGAGATAGAGCCAGAGCGATATATACTGTCACACACACACACACATGGAGAGACAGAGGGATAGAGCCAGAGCAAGACATACTGTCACACACACAAATGGAGAGGCAGAGAGATAGAGCCAGAGCGACACATACTGTCAGAAACAAACACATGCAGAGACAGAGAGATGGAGCCAGAGCAACAGATACTGTCACACACTCACACACACATATATGGAGAGATAGATCCAGAGCGACCTTTACTGTCACACACACAGAGACACACACAGAGATGGAGAGATAGAGCCACAGCGACACATACTGTCACATACACACAAACACACTTTCATACACATAGAGAGACAGAGCCAGAGCGACACATACTGTCACACACACAAACACACAAATGGAGATATAGAGCCAGAGCGACACATACTGTCACACTCACACACACACACACACATAGAGAGACAGAAAGACGGAGCCAGAGCGACACATACTGTCACACACACACACACACACATATGGAGAGACAGAAAGACAGAGCCAGACCGACACATACTGTCACACACACACACACACACATATGGAGAGACAGAAAGACGGAGCCAGAGCGACATATACTGTCACACACACACGCACACATATGGAGAGACAGAAAGATAGAGCCAGAGCGACACATACTGTCACACACACACACACATGGAGAGACAGAGGGATAGAGCCAGAGCAACACATACTGTCACACACACAAATGGAGAGGCAGATAGATAGAGCCAGAGCGACACATACTGTCAGAAACAAACACATGCAGAGACAGAGAGATGGAGCCAGAGCAACACATACTGTTACACACTCACACACACATATATGGAGAGATAGATCCAGAGCGACCTTTATTGTCACACACACATAGACACACACACAGATGGAGAGATAGAGCCACAGCGACACATACTGTCACATACACACAAACACACTTCCATACACATAGAGAGACAGAGCCAGAGCGACACATACTGTCACACACACAAACACACAAATGGAGAGATAGAGCCAGAGCGACACATACTGTCACACACACACACACATGCAGAGACAGAGAGATTGAGCCAGAGCCACTCACAAACATGGAGAAATAAAGCCAGAGCGACACATACTGTCACACACACAAAAACACACACACTCACACATGGAGAGATAGAGCCAGAGCGACACATACTGGCACACACACACACACACACACACACACACACACACACATGGAGAGATAGAGCTAGAGCGACACATACTGTCACACACACAAAAACACGCACACTCACACATGGAGAGATAGAGCCAGAGCGACACATACTGTCACACACACACACACATGGAGAGATAGAGCTAGAGCGACACATACTGTCACACACACAAAAACACACACACTCACACATGGAGAGATAGAGCCAGAGCGACACATACTGTCACACACACAAAAACACACACACTCACACATGGAGAGATAGAGCCAGAGCGACACATACTGTCACATACACACACACATGGAGAGATAGAGCTAGAGCGACACATACTGTCACACACACACACACATATGGAGAAACATAAAGACAGAGCCAGAGCGACACATACTGTCACACACACAAAAACATACACACACTCACACATGGAGAGATAGAGCCAGAGCGACACATACTGTCACACACACAAAAACACACACACTCACACATGGAGAGATAGAGCCAGAGCGACACATACTGTCACACACACACACACACATGGAGAGATAGAGCTAGAGCGACACATACTGTCACACACACACACATATGGAGAAACAGAAAGACAGAGCCAGAGCGACACATACTGTCACACACACACATATGAAGAGACATAAATACAGAGCTAGAGCGACACATACTGTCACACACACACACACATGATGAGACAGAAAGACAGAGCCAGAGCGACACATACTGTCACACAAACACACACATATGGAGAGATAGAGTAAGAGCAACTCATACTGTCACACACACACACACACACACACATAGAGAGACAGAGAGATAGATCCAGAGCAACACATACTGTCTCACACACACACACATGGAGAGACAGATGCATAGCGACTATTACTGTCACACACACACACACAGAGACACACACCACACACAGATTGAGAGATAGAGCTAGAGCGACAATACTGTCACACACACACACACATGGAGAGATTGAGCCAGAGAGATACATACTGTCACACACACAGATGCAGAGACAGAGAGATACAGAAAAAGCGACACATACTGTCACACACACACATGCAGAGACAGAGAGATAGTGCCAGAGCCACTCACAAACATGGGCAAATAAAGCCAGAGCGACACATACTGTCACAAACACAAAAACACACACACTCACACATGGAGAGATAGAGCCAGAGCGACACATACTGACACACACACACACATGGAGAGATAGAGCTAGAGCGACACATACTGTCACACACACACATATGGAGAAACAGAAAGACAGAGCCAGAGCGACACATACTGTCACACACATACACATATGGAGAGATAGAGCTAGAGCGACACATACTGTCACACACACACACATATGGAGAAACAGAAAGACAGAGCCAGAGCGACACATACTGTCACACACACACATATGAAGAGACATAAATACAGAGCTAGAGCGACACATACTGTCACACACACACACACATGATGAGACAGAAAGACAGAGCCAGAGCGACACATACTGTCACACAAACACACACATATGGAGAGATAGAGTAAGAGCAACTCATACTGTCACACACACACACACACACACACACATAGAGAGACAGAGAGATAGATCCAGAGCAACACATACTGTCTCACACACACACACATGGAGAGACAGATGCATAGCGACTTTTACTGTCACACACACACACAGAGACACCCACCACACAGATTGAGAGATAGAGCTAGAGCGACAATACTGTCACACACACACACATGGAGAGATTGAGCCAGAGAGATACATACTGTCACACACACACACATGCAGAGACAGAGAGATACAGAAAAAGCGACACATACTGTCACATACACACATGCAGAGACAGAGAGATAGAGCCAGAGCCACTAACAAACATGGAGAGATAAAGCCAGAGCGACACATACTGTCACACACACAAAAACACACACACTCACACATGGAGAGATAGAGCCAGAGCGACACATACTGTCACACACACACACACACACATGGAAAGATAGAGCTAGAGCGACACATACTGTCACACACACACATATGGAGAAACAGAAAGACAGAGCCAGAGCGACACATACTGTCACACACACACATATGGAGAGACATAAATACAGAGCTAGAGCGACACATACTGTCACACACACACACATGATGAGACAGAAAGACAGAGCCAGAGCGACACATACTGTCACACAAACACACACATATGGAGAGATAGAGTAAGAGCAACTCATACTGTCTCACACACACACACACACACATGGAGAGACAGAGAGATAGATCCAGAGCAACACATACTGTCTCACACACACACATGGAGAGATAGATGCATAGCGACTATTACTGTCACACACACACACAGAGACACACACCACACACAGATTGAGAGATAGAGCTAGAGCGACAATACTGTCACAAACACACACACATAGAGATAGAGAGAGAGAGAGAGAGAGAGAGAGAGAGAGAGAGAGAGAGAGAGAGAGAGAGAGGAAGAAAAGAACGAGATCTACAGTGAGAGAGACTGGGACACAGAGACTGAGACACAGAGACTGAGACACAGAGACTGAGACACAGAGACTGGGACATAGAGACTAAGACACAGAGACTGGGACACAGAGACTGGGACACAGAGACTGGAACACAGAGACTGGGACACAGAGACTGGGACACAGAGACTGGGACACAGAGACTGAGACACAGAGACTGGGACACAGAGACTGAGACACAGAGACTAAGACATATATAGTTTGAGCGACACCTTAGATTCGAACTCACACAGACTGAGAAATAAAGAAACTGAGAAAGAAAGAATTAGTATGTGAGAGAGAGAAAACAATAGTTAGATGGTATCAGATGTTCAGTCTATATTATGGGATAGCATGTATTTTATCGTAGAAGTTAATTTAGAAAAAGGAACACAACACGACTGTTGAAGACAATATGCATTTAATAGTTTGTCACTGTTTGTGTGATATCCGGTTTTCACCCCTTGGTTATATTCTCTGTTGCCACAGGAACTCTGTAGAAACAAAAGGAAAAAAAATCACACACACACATTATTGACGTCATTGTGTGAAACAAATGGTAATATATAGAAATGCAGGGTTTCCTCGAGTTACGACCCATGGGACTTACGAATATCCACACTTACGACCACAAAAATAAGTTTTCAAAATTTAACACACAAAGATAACTTTCTTTGTAGTGTCAAAAAGTTCCCGGAACTAATGTCTAGAGTACAGCCGGGTTCAGACGTCAGATTTGTTTGACCCTAACGCGTACATAGAATAAATTTTTGGTGTTTCTTTACAATTTTTATAAGTTATTTAGATGAAAAAAAAAGTTGTATAAATTTGATTTACGAGGAACAGTTTGACTGAGGAACGGCACGACTAATGTAAAGTTAGACTGAGGAACAGTTCGACTGAGGAACAGCTCGACTGATGTAAAGTTCGACAGAGAAACAGTTCGACTGAGGAACAGGTAGAACAACTGGGTGAAGTTGAGGAAAGTGCTTCGAACTGCCTGTGGACACAACGGATCGCCGTAGGGGATGGGACTTAATAGACTGGTAGCGCAAAAGTGCTTTACTTCCCTAAAACACAAAGTGCAAGATAAAGTCTGACAGTGTCGCTCTGGCAACTGATATAATATAACGTCAGTCCAATGAACCAACCGTAAGGTTGTCACTTTGGTCGTGATGGAGGGTAGTCAGCTAATTTGCTACTGTAGGACAATATATAACACCACACCTTACATAACCTGTTGTGAAGCCACCATTTCGTCTTGTCCAACGTCCTTTAAGCGCTGCAGATGTCCATTGCCTGGAGTCATGAATCAGTGTCTGCCCACCTTCGGAGATTTCTAGTAGGTTAATGGACCGAAACAATTGTCGACGATGGATCTCTCTGAACGGTGGACCCCTGTTGTGCATGCTTTGCTGCTGAGTTTTTTTCCTTCTAATTATATTAATATTGTGTAGAAAGGGGGTGGGGGGTATATATGGGTATGTAGTGTATGTGTGTGTGGTGTGGCGTGGTGTGTTATGTATCTTTAATCATCACCATCAGTCAGCAAGTCTTTTACAGAACCTAACATTGCCAAAATACTCTAGCTTCAGGGACAGGGTGCTGTTTATGTGCCAATTTCCCCAGTGTGGGTTTCAGGGTCCCATTGTAGGGGAAAACAAGAATAGACCCACTGCCTCCCCAAAAGCATGTCGTAAGAGTTGACTAATCGGGGAGCTTTCTTTGAAGTCGGAATGCATCTGCCGGAGAGGCAAGGAACCAACAGTCTGTAATCAAGAGAATGAGATTTGTAAAACTGATGCACACGCAACACTCCGGTTCTGGAGCAGGACTGCAGTTCAGAGGTGGACGAGCAACCAGAACTTTGCGCCAGAGTGTACGGTTGGTGAACGCGAAGAAGAAGAAGTTGAGCCAATTTTCCTCAATTTGGGAAGATATCAACGTTTTTCTTCTTTTTGCTCCATTGTATTTTAAGAATTTATCTACAACATTTCAGTTCATCTCATGTTTGTTTATTCAAAGACTGAGTGAGAAGAGTGAGTGGGCAAAGAGGAGCAGGAATGGCGAAGAGTAGGTAGGAACAGAAGAAAAAGAGAAAGAAGTAGAAGAAGAAAAAGAAGAAGAAGAAGAAGAAGAAGAAGAAGAAGAAGAAGAAGAAGAAGAAGAAGAAGAAGAAGAAGAAGAAGAAGAAGAAGAAGAAGAAGAAGAAGAAGAAGAAGAAGAAGAAGAAGAGAAGAAGAAGAAGAAGAAGAAGAAGAAGAAGAAGAAGAAGAAGAAGAAGAAGAAGAAGAAGAAGAAGAAGAAGAAGAAGAAGAAGAAGAAGAAGAAGAAGAAGAAGAAGAAGAAGAAGAAGAAGAAGAAGAAGAAGAAGAAGAAAAAGAAAAAGAGAAGAAGAAAAAGAAAAGAAAAAGAATAAGAAGAAGTACTACTACTACTACTACTACTACTACTACTATTACTACTTCTACTGCTGCTACTACTACTTCTACTCCTTCTACTACTACTACTACTACTACTACTACTACTACTACTACTACTACTACTACTACTACTACTGCTGCTGCTACTACTACTGCTATAATGACCACCACTATTAATAATGCTGCAATTGTATTGGGCAACTGCAGATGGAAGAGCCGGAGTTAGCAATGCTCTGCAACACACAGTTTATACTTACTTCATCTCACAGATGTACTTGTAAGACAATGTACAAGACATGTCCATCCACTGGTAGCTGTGTCCCTGGTCTATGGCCAAACAGTCTTCATCTGTGAGAACAAGGAGACAAAACTAAACTGCAAGCACTTACTGACCTACTTACTTAGTCGCTCCTGTTCTACCTTGCGGTGTAGAGGTTTGTCAGATAAATCACGTCCCACTGTTGGTCGTTCGTCGTGTTTCCATCGTCATTGATCGTTGCCCCAAAACTGCTCCATGTCTGTGCAAGTGGAAGTCACACACACTGTCCATCATCGACTGTCTTTAAACTATTTGACAAACTTGTTCCTCCCAGCAAAATCTTGAAACTTGCAAACGCAAAATAGAAACTCATAAGGTTTCTGTCAGGTGTGCCAAAACTAACAGTCTAACGTCAGAATTACAGCTCACTGCTGGCGTTTACTAACGATCAGTCACGAAAACCGGCATTTATCTGCAAAAGTACATGATATTACGAATGTGCCGGATAGTAGCTCAGTGTTGTTGTTCCGTATTTGTCTTTTACTTTTCGGATGTGTAATTGACGTTTTTTTTTTCTTCAGGATTTAACTGTGTTGCTTTTTCAGACTGTTCGAAAGATATGCCGCCAGATAGACAGATGACATACAGATTGCTAGAGAGACAGATTGCCTGATATACAAGTTGTGAGACAGACAGACAGACAGACAGACAGACAGACAGACAGACAGACAGACAGACAGACAGACAGACAGACAGACAGACAGACAGACAGACAGACAGACAGATAGACAGACAGACAGACAGACAGACAGACACAATGCTAGATAAGTTTAGATAGTCATACAAATTTACAGATACAGACACGAAGATTACAAGGCAGACAATAAATTGTCAGACATATTGCCAAACAAACAGGCAGACAAATTACCTGGTCCAGCTGGCTCAGTTCCGAACCATTTTTCATATTTTCCGAAAAGTCCTCCTCTCGGAAGCCATTCCCAGGAACCTCGGTGAAGTCTCTCGGATCCGCCAGTCCATGCAACTGTGACTGCCAACACATGAATACAGTTAATAAGTTCGAAGTTTCAACACAGGAATACAGTCAGTAATTTCAAAGAATCTAGACTATATTGTTTCAATCAAAGTGATCTCAGCATGCCAATGACTCTGGAGAACGAAATGACCCGCGGGACAAACTGGCCCTCATAGCAGTTATTACTTTTGACACTACTAGTGTCAAAAACTATAAACTGTGATTCTTGCTCTCAAAAAACAGGAGGGAAAAAAAGCTTTAACGGAAACATTGAGGATATAATTCTAATTCTAATTCTAAAGGTGTCCCATGGAGTAAAAACTGTTGAACAGAGCGACATATTGGATTTCGATCTAACATTACCAAATGCGGGATGATAAGACTACTTGACTCACTTAGCACTGATTGGTCAAAGTGATTTTAAAACTTGTATCTATATGGCGATCCCTTGAATGCATTGCTAGGTCGCCTCTCCCTCATTCACGCCCCTGACTAACAAATTGTGATTTAAAATTGGAGGACAAAAAAGAAAAATCTCAAGCACCAATAACAAAAATTGGAGAAAAACATTTACACAAATCAAACTGACAAAAAACATACTGTCCGTGGCTTTTTGTTTAATCTATAGATATATATTCATAATTAAATACATATTTTTTAAAGTAAAAGTGACTATTACAAGAAGCTAATTCTGTTTCCAAATTGTTTGAGGCAGCTGAACTTCGTTGTGCCCCAAGCTGAGAACCAATGGTGTATGCAGACATACGTTAAGCATCACATGCCCAGTGCATCACTGGAGTGACAAAGATCATTTTACATTGTGTTCTATTGTTCATTTTGTTAATGCAGCAGTCAAGCAATGTGTGGCTTTGTGTTAATGCAGCAGTCAAGCAATGTGTGGCTTTGTGTTAATGCAGCAGTCAAGCAATGTGTGGCTCTGTGTTAATGCAGCAGTCAAGCAATGTGTGGCTTTGTGTTAATGCAGCAGTCAAGCAATGTGTGGCTTTGTCTGAATCCAGCAGTCAAACAATATGTGGCTTTGGCTTTAAGGTTTGAGATGGGATTTCACAATACAACTCGCGACTTTGACAAGGGTTCGATTCCTACAGGGTTCTGTTTTACAGACAGTAGCACGAGAGTCAGGGCGAGGAAGAGATGGTGATCTCACCACGTTAGTAGTGGTTCCTGCAGCCAACCTTCATTGTGGTGACGGCACTGTTTATTTTGTTTCTGATAGTGGAGAAATGGTTCACAAATGATACACATTGACACGCAGCTTCATAAGAATAAGAACTCCATTGATATACATTCAGCTTTATGCCAATAAGAACTTCGAACAAAGGAGACAGAAACAATAGATTGCACAATTTATTGCCTGGCATATTTCGCTGTATTTCGTCAGGTGCATACTACAGTAACAATTACATAAATTAAACAGATAAGTGAATCCTTTATTATACAAATCCTCTATAATAGATCTTCGTTTAACATACACATACAGTCACACACACACACACACCAACACACACAAACACACACACACAGACACACACACACACACACACATATATATATATATATATATATATATATATATATATATATATATATATATATACTTTTATCTCAATTAATTGTGAAAATTGCCTGTCTAATAAATCATATTATTATGCACCACGTTATAGTTTATCTTTATGTGCACTTTTTATTGCCCGAAATTTAATCTTTTTATATATATATATATATATATATATATATATATATATATATATATATATATATATATATATATATATATATACTTTTATCTCAATTAATTGTTCCCACGTTTCTGTAGGCGAGTCCTGTGAAATGCATCTGGAGCAGCTATTGGGAACTAAGGTTTCCTTTAGAGATGTGGTCCTATACCTTTTTCAGTTGCCCCCCTCCCCTCCCCCACCACCCCGAGTATACGGCAAGACCCTCACTCCCCTTTGAGTGTATTGCAAAAACCCCACATCCCACCTGAGTATATGGTATCCCCCTCCCCCCTCTTTCCCTTCCCCCAACCACCATAACTGACTATGGTTTTATAAAGTCAGTAGATTCCACAAGAAGCGAAACAGAAAGTATGGAGATACGTTTGGGTCAGAATGCGTTCTTAGTCAATATTAGATACACGTGACATCATACTAATTTGGTTTTTAACGTTAGATGTGCACAGTGCTCAAGAAAACACAAATGTCCGTGTATTTATTACTTACTGCTCCTGCTTTTCATTGAATTGACAAGGAAGTCGTACTCCTTTGGATCATTAATGTGTACCAGATGTGCGTCATCCAACTGGCAGTATTGCTGGAGGGACGAATGAGAGTCACATGAGGTTAATTAATCATTAATGTGTATTATATGTGCATCATACAACTTTACATTTACTATACAATGTGTTGTTTGGCACTCATAGAAATAAGAAGAAAGATGGAGATACATACTAGACAGCATAAAAATGGATCTTTATGTTTTGCATAATGTAGTGATTTATATTAGCCACAGAATGAAGATGAAGTTACCACGGCGTCAATCCAGGTGACCGTTTCTTGACAGAAAGAATAACACGACTCGCCGAAGAGTTCCCATCCAACTTTACATTTCTGGCTGGACACTGAAAAGGAATTGTTCAAAAAAGTCTTATGATTATGTTTTATTAACAACAACAACGACCTCGTCGAGAAGTTCGAGAAACAGATAAGTGAGCAAAGCTTACAGACATGTAGACAGACAGGCAAGAAGCTAAGTAGTCAGTCAAGCTAGTAAACACACTTATAAAAGCAGACAGGCAGACATGTAGTCAGTCAAAAAAGATCTA